TTGGGAAGAGCCCTGCGGGGCAGGAAGGGTCATGGGGGGGTCTCAGCCTGCGCCCACCGGATGCTGCAGGGGAGCACAGAGAGCTGGGGCCAGCGCAGACCCCCAGAGCTGCCGGGCAGGACAGTCCCAAAGCGGGCTGGAGGGGAGGCCGTGCCCGGAGCGAGCTCGGCATGGCTCACTGGGTGAGTCACACTCGCTCCCGGCTCACCGAGCACCAGGTCCTGCTTTTTGTTCCCCGCTGCAAGTGCTGACCTGCCGCCGCTGCAGCTGAGCTCTCGAGCTGTTCTCAGGGCAGACCCTGATGCAAATTAAAGCCATTTTGAGCTGCTGGGGCTCCTGCTGGCAGCCTCACATCTGCAGAGCATGGCCAGGCCCTGCAGCTCGCAGCCCGCTTCCTCCCAGGGGAGGCTCTGCAGCACCAACACCTTCCCAGCTCGTCATGGGATAGAGGGGCCGCATGCCCCCACGCACCTCAAAAGCTCAGTAGAGCCTCCGCCCTGCAGAAACCAGATGCAGCCAAGCACCCAAATCCCCCGCCCTCCAGAACCCGGATGCAGCCAAGCACCCAAAATACCCACCACCGCCAGCCCACCTGCCTCCCACGTGCAGGGCACCAGCCCCACACGCAGGACCTGCCTGCTTTGGTTCCAGGACTTGGCTCTTGCTCAGGGAGGTCAGACCATGATCACAGGCTGGCACACCCACTGAGCCATCTGCAGGGGCACGGCCACCCCCCAATGGCAGAGGGGATGCTGCCAAGGCAAGGCCAACGCACCAGCAGGACCCGCTTCGCCAACAGCCATCTCGCAGCTCCCTGGAGCTGGCTCGACCCTGCAGGGACTCCCAGCACATCACCCATACTGTGCCCACAGGGCTGCAGCACCCAGTGCCCACCCCCAGGGCCCAGGGCAGCCAGCCAAGTCAATGAGGGGTGCCCATGGATGGCCCTGGCTCCCCAGGGCCAGGCTCGTGGAGGGCTGGGCCCAGAGCCACGTCCCACTCGCTGCCTTGGTGCCCCGCTCCCAACACACACGCTGGAGCTGCGCCTCATTAACACGCGTTTATTGTTTCATCGCTAATTGCACGGTGACCAAGCGAGAAGAGGGATCCTGTGTGCAGGGGAGAGCCTGAGCAGGTGCCTGCATGGATGAGTCCCCTCAGCCGCAGGGACAGCCCTGCTCCTGGAGCTGCAGAGCCCAGAGCCCCCCAGGGCAGCTCCGAGGGGGGTCTGGCTCCAGTGTCCCCTTCCCAGGCTGCCCAGGGCCTGGCCCCAGGCCTGGCGACAAGACAGATCAGGGCAAACCCTGTACCCAGCCCCAAACCCACCCATTACCTTGCCAAATTTGCAGTGCTGCACATAGAGGATCCCATCCTTCACCGGTCTCTCCATGGGCCCAGCGCCGCCCAGGCAGCCAGCACAAGGATGAGCAAGTCGGGCTACCAGCAGCAGAGAAAATGTGACTGCTGCAGCCGGAGCAACTGCATGGGGCAGACTTCCTTCTCTCAGCGACTTCCCCTTTTCGGTGTGTGGGATGAGGGGCAGAGGCTGGGCCACAGGAGGTGTCCGTCTGTCCGCCCTCCCCCTCGCAGAGGGGCAGTGGGGCAGAACGCACACAGGGAGAGCACAGGAAGCACAGAGGGGACCGCCCGACGCTGCCTCACCCCAGCTGCATCACAGCGTGTTTGGGGGATACAGGAACAACCACCAGCTGAGGAAGCACAAAACCAGGTCAGGGGGACGGTCCTGGAGGAACTGAGGGGCTTTGGAGAAGAGCTACATTAAGACCCTGGCCGTGCCGCTGCAGGGAGCTGGCAGAGGCAGCAGGCAGCCGGCTGC